TGGAGAGCGGCGGCGAGGGGCTGGGGCCAGGGTGCAGCTGCCGCTAGATGTCAGCCACTCCTTGCTGCAAAGCAAAAGACCCAAAAGTGCAAGAAAAATCCCTGAAAAGAGTCAATTCCTGCTTTTCCATGGCACTCCGCTTATCATCCCTTACCCAGTACGTTGGTGAGAGTGTCTCTGATTTGCTTTGGAAGAAAATACTTCACTTCATCCATTAAAACATTTAATGTCAGGCTGTTTCTCTGCATAATAATGTTCTAAACCTTAATATTGTAGAAGCAGATTGTCAAATGATTTGCATCTATTTTGCAGGAAGGATGTTTTTCCCTTCCTCAGAGTGAGCTCAGGAAATGAGAGAACCAGGCAGGAAACTAGCTAAACACTGATGGAAGTATAAAATGAAGATATTTATCTCGCCGGTGTATTGACAAGCCATGGGTAATTGGGGTTTTTTAATGTTTTAAACCATTGATTTAAAAATGGACAAAATTTAAGTCTCCCTTCCCCGAGCCCTCTGAAGTGGATCTAATTAAACAGCATTTTTGCTTCTGGCAAGCAAACACAGCAACAGAATCAAAAGTTACAAATTACAGTAAACTTTGCGGTGCAATAATATTTGAGTTTGGAATTTAACCGGTTTCCTCTGGTGTTGTACCTAACATCTGGCACATGAAGGTCCCCACTCTCCCAAAAAAATAGGAAAACAGAAGGACAGTTTCTCAGTGATACCTTAGCACGTGAGTCCTTGTTTGCTGCTGCTGCCCTCTAAGCCACCTTTGTGCTCTTCCAGCCCTGTGGTGACTGTTTGGTAGGCTGTTCCCAGAGCATAAAACAAAACATCTGGTTGTTAACAACATAAAGCTGTTACAACAGCTGGAGTCTGCCAGGATGCACAGGACTTCTGGCCAGAAATCATTTCCCAGCTGCAGGAAATATTAGTGATATGGGATCTACTGTACCAGCTCAGCATCAACTGGGAGCTGCCCGATCTGCAGCCATCCTCTCAGCCGTTCTTCTTGGCGAGGTGCAGCGGGCACATGGCACAATGTGGTTCCAGCCTGGACCGTGCTCTGCCTCATCACTGTCGCAGCCAGTGTTGGCTTTGCAAGCATGAAGAGATGCTCCACTTCGCACTCAAACTACATTAGTATTTGTCAGTCTGGTTGAACGGTCCTAGGTTGAGGCAGAGGCTGCAAGCTCCTGGCTTATATTATGAGCCAATAAGCCCAAGCGTGCCGAAAAGGGCACTATGGAGCATCAGTGGCACAGCTGCTACGGGGCTTTCACCTACAGGTGAGCAGTTCAAAGCTGGACTCGATCATCCCAGGTGAAGCATCAAACTTAAGGAGTTTCCAACAGCCCTACCGAAAGCTTTGCTGTTTTAGCAGAGGCTGGGGAAGCTGGAAGTGGTCGGGTAGTTGCTGCTTGTCTCTCACCCATTCCTGCATCCCTGCAGGCAGACGCAGTTCTGGCCTCTCGGGTATGATGGTGCAAGAGGGCTGGGGGAGCAGCTCCACAGGACGCTGCCTTCGGGAGCCAAGGCAATGCAAACCAGACCCCTGCTGCCCCGGCAGTTCATGCTGCCTTGCTGTGCCAGTGCAGCTCTTGTGGGGCTGCCGCGTAAACCAGATCACTGACACGATCCAAGTTAAAAATAAACCTCCAGCATAAACCAAAACGAAAACCCTGACAGTTATTTTTAACCCAGATCTTTTTGCTGATCTGCTTCGCAGTGCAGCGCCGCAAATAGTTGCACTGGTGAAATGAAGGAGGAGCTGAAATGCAGCACAGTTATGGGAATGAGTGGCTGAGGACGGAGGGGGTGTGGTGGAAACTTCACCACCGAAGCCAGAGTCTCACGATACCACATTTTCACATTACTGGAGCCTAGGGTGCTCCTGACTTCTGGCAGCAGAACTCTGGTCTCCTTTGCTATGAAGTCCTTAACATTTGCTCTCTTTAAAGGCAGCTTTAACAAAACAAGACAAAACCAATCCAACAAACAAAAGGTCCTGATAGAAGTTACTTTTTGTGGGTTTTGTATACAGCCACATACTCCCCTCCATAGGCAAACCTGGGCTGATTTGTCATCCCAGTGGCTCGGGGAGGTTGTCCCCCATTCGAAGCCACTACAGCAACCCACTGTCACTTCACAGGTGATGCTCTGAGATGCCTGATGTGGGGGACGTGCATATGGGCAAGTGGCCATCAGAGAGACCTGGCGCAGCCAACACCATCTCGAACGCTATGTCTGAGGTTCTCTGGTGGTGCGAACAGCCCCAACAACAAGAGGAGATCCTCCACCCTCCCCCAGAAGCTCTTTTATGTTTGTTACGTTTAACTGTAGCTATATTAAAGACTCCTAATTACAAGTTTCAAGTCAGAGATCTCATTAATCACCAACCTGAGAACATTACAGTGATGAGCTGCCAAAGGCATGAGCAAATCACTCTAATTACCAGGTTTAGATGCTGCTCTTCAAAACTTGATTAGCTACAGATACACAGGTGATAATTCCTACTGTCTTCTTTATAGCACATCCTCACCATTATCCACTCTAGTCTGATTTAGATTCTTATTAGAATAATATTATGCTAGTTAAGTAATCCTGCACACAGAATGCTTCATGATGGAGGTGATGAAGTGGGTTTAGATGATGACTAATATCACAAACTGTACTAACAGTGCCAGAGAAACTGGTGAGGGACATACACAAAAAGAAGGAACTCCTCGCTGCCACCATACATCCTAACTGTGAACAGAAATGATAAAAAGGAATGAAAAATAAGCGGAGCATTAATAAGCTAATTTTTTAAAAAAACATTGCAAGAAAATGTAGACAATCAATTTAATCTGTTCTCTGAAGGGCTGAAATTACCCCTAGGAGTGAACTTATTTCAAGCATGTTACTAAGGGCAGAATTTGCCCCTTCCAAAAGCCACTAATAGTTCTCATATACTCAACAGGCATATACTCAACACCACCCTCCTCCACCATACGCCCCGGATCTGAATGCTCAGTGCATCTTTGGATGCACGTATTCCATAATACGTGAAATAAAAAGGAGCCTTACGGGAGGCTCTACTCTCCCCAGGAGCCACCTCACAGCAGTCTTAGAGCAGCGGATGGTTGCGTTTCCATCTTTGCACTCCCATTCGGTTTTGGGGACATGCTCAGACAAGCCCAAAGCTCCAGCTGCTTTCCCAGCCAGTGCCTGGGACCTGTGCACCGTCTTTGAAAGGGTTTCTGTCCACCCCATGTGCAAGCCCGGAAGCATGCACGTACTTTCACCATTGCCCAGTGATGTTTTGTTCTCAGTTGTTTCTTGCAACCCACATTTAGAACCAAACCGTGCCGGATTAACCCATTCGGAGCGTCCATTCACTGCAGCGTGAGCATTTCAGCCCTTCTTCCTTCAGGGGAAAAAAGCACTTGCAACAGTGATGAAGCCAATTTAAGAAACAAACTCACCAAAAAATGTGAGGGCTGCCAGGAATACCTTAGTTACCCACAGAGGTTAAAATTTTATTTTGATATAAAAATTAAATAGCAAAGTTTTTGGTTTTTTTTACAGTGATAAATTAGAAATTTACAGTACATACATTGAAGTAGATATATTTTCTGTACACCCCAAAATAATCAGTGTCTATTTCCTTAAAATTCAGAAAAAGGAGCTAACTTGTGTGTTTAATGTAAGAGCTAAGCTTGTACCTCTCCAGCAGATGCTTCCAAAACCTGCAGTGAGAAGAGCACACACGGGGTGGGTCGAGGGGGGAGGGCGGGGCACACGGGGTGGGGTGGGGGGGCAGGGGGGGAGCAGGGACTGCACAAGGAAGGGAACTGCTGCAAAGTTTCTAGTTGTATAACTGCAGCAACTGCACTTCCGAGACAGGATTAGTCACACATTTTTTGGCTTTAAATTCATAACAATGTTGAAACAAGAGAACATACGAGTTGCAGATACCCACTCTTCACAACTGCCAGGTTTTAGGCTATCTGCTGTGACTTCCCACTCATACAGCCCCGAAGCGGAGCAAGGTAAACGCATGTGGATGAATACATTTATGGAACAGTTTCATCGCTGTAACAGCTAATTTTGCTTTGGGTTGGTACAACGTCCCCCCAAATGCTCGGGAAAGATGTTCCTTCAGGAACAGCAGCTGGTGTCTCTCCCCAGCCCATCTCCTCCCCATAGTATTTGAGTCCCTCACACTCTTTAATAGGAACATCTCCCCGGGTCCCTTGTAGGGCTACACAGTGCTATCCTCATCCGACTCACTTCCAATGTCTCAAATCACTGGGGACATCTGTCTGTCACAGTCCACGGGGTCACAGGCAGCAATGCAGGGATCTGATAACAAGGGACTACTTAACATTCACTTCTGTGTACATAACATGGTTAAAAACGCCGTTTATTGAATCAGTCAGGCCAAACATGGGTCGTATTGGCCAGGAGAGTATCCAAACCGTTTCAGAGTGAAGGACACTTGAGTGAACGTGACACCTTGGCACAGCCCGATACTAGGTTAAAAGACAAGGCTCCTACTGCATCCTCGCACCTTGAAAGTCAACATAGAGTTGCCGACTTCACATCCCTTGCTGAGCCAGGAGAAAGATCGCACAATGGAGAAACTCGGTCATCTGAAGATTTCGTACTTGCAGAACTCCTTGTCCACAGAGGAACAACCAGATCCAAACACAACACTAATAGCGAGAGACTTTATGGAGAAGATGAAAAGGCTCGGCTGGTATGTGGCGTTGGCCAAGACAATGCTTGTGCGTCTTGAGCAGAATGTGTCAAGTTGTCACTTGTTCTGCTGGAGAGGGAGCCCAACCGCAAAGACTGCAATTAGGGTTTGTTTGGGGTTTAGGTTTTTTTTTTTTAAATGTGCTCTAGCACATGTTTCAACATTGACATTGAAACAATACACGCTTCTGGGACAGATTAACCACAAAGACTCCAATTTGGGTTTGTTTGGGGTTTAGTTTTTTTTTTTTTAAATGTGCTCTAGCACATGTTTCAACATTGACATTGAAACAATACACGCTTCTGGGACAGATTAGTGCTCACGGCCAGAGCTGGAATGAATTGTGGTTTGGGAAGCACGTGGGGCACCTGTATGAAAAGTGAGGACTGTAATAAAGCAGTGCCTGTTCTCAGCTGCCCTCGGAGGTCGTGCTAGTCGGGGCACTGGGGGGATGCTCACAGCTGACCAGGTTCCACACAAACAAACTGAGCAAAAGTTTAGGGCACACAGATAAAACCAAAGGTCCTTCAAAGGGATAGAGTATCAGAACAGTGCTCTCTTAAGTACTTCTGGGCTATTTCTATTTGCATCACCTTTCTTATTAGCCACACAAGCCCCTGACACAAGGTTCGAGCTACCCACGAGCACAAGCTGATGCCTCCTCAAATGAAAGGGTAAGAAAACTCGACAGGTGCTACGAAACAACATTATTCATGAAGAAGTTGGATCTCTTCTCTTGGGATCCCTTTACAAAAACTGGAAATGTCTCGTCATTCCTGAGGACTGAATGCCTGCTCACATTCTGCATGTAAATATACGTTAAAAAAAATCTCCGTAGCTGTCAGTGAGCAATTGGAGCAACGTCGTGAGGCAGTCAGCTGTACTGCGATGTCATGGGCTGAGAATGTTCCTTTAATTGTAACTGAAACACATAATTATACAACTGATCTGTGTGAACATGAGGTTGCCAAGGAACTTAACATTTTGCTTCTCCCCAGACTGGCGTCTGCAGAGATACCATCGCACTGAATGAAATATATTAAGACTTAATTGCTTCATGCAATGTGTCTCCAGAGAGAGCCAGATAAGTTTACTTGGAGAAAACTGGCATTGTTTGAAGAGACCCTCAACTCATTTTTCTCTTTCCTGGAGGAAGGAACACTATAATGTAAGACTTTATTTAAAGCTATTAAATGCAGTAGAATAAAGTAGTCCACTGGAAATAGCAGGAGCACCTGAAGGGACAGGAACGGAGGCAGGCTGATAACGATAATCGATGCAGAAGACCATACACAGTTCCCAGCTCCCACTGACTCCTCTACTTCTGACAATGGCCTTGAGTAAAGCTTTTAAAAAATAAGAAATATTGACTGAACCACAGAATAATTCGGTGGGAAGGGACCTAGGGAGGTCCAAATTCCTGCTCAAGGCAGAGTCAACTCTCAGTTCAGACCAGGTTACAGACAGTAAATGTGTCAAAATTATTATTAGACCATCAGATGACTTAAAGAATCCTCCTCACTAATACCTCACTAAATCCTACTCAGAATGGGTAACTCTCAGACCTGGAAAGTCCACTTGGTATTTGCTAGGGACCTGATCCTTGGCTGGCTTGTGCAGCGTATGGGAGCAACAGAATTCCCCAGGGCACAAAGACACAACCTTCGTCAGGCGCTTCCTTCACGATGCTGAACTCAGAAAGAAGACATCTAACTGACGTCCTGGGTACTCCATCTTCTGATAACTGGACCCTAAAAATCAGCCCAGAATTTGGCCCCGGACCGCCTTTCCTCCATCAGCTATAAGATGATGAAAAGAAAACAACATCCCACAGCTGTGGGCTACAGTCCCTCAGCTTCTAAAGACTTCAGTATATTGCATCCTGCTTCAAAAAAAAAAGGAAGATAACGTGTTTGGATATTTCACAGCTTTTAAAGCCTCCCTGGGCTTTCCTATTTTGGGCAGTATGGTTTATGGCTATTGTATCTGCAGCATGATCTTTTTGCTGTTTATCCTTTAAGGCTTTTTTTTCCATCCCCCAGAGACAGGTTGTGTAACCGTCTCCCTACTCTACTCCCAGCCTTTACACGGCAATGCTTACACACGATCAGTCCTTCACGGGAGAGCAGTCAGACCGTCGGGGTGTTGTCCTTTTCTCATACCACGGTCTCGTTCCCTTTCCCAGGTTTCACCCAACCATCTGCTCTCTTCTCCTGTTTCACTTTCCCTGAGTTCACCAGTCTGTTCGAGCACTTCTGCCACGTGTGCAGAGTTTTGGCTGACCAGATCCACATACCTGATGTTATACCCACCAGGAGGGACATGAAGATTTTCAGCATCTCCACTGCCATATTGGAATCATCTGCCGAATAGCGGAAAACAGCCCAGTTGGAGATTTCGTAGAAATAACAGGCGATGACACACGTTGCTGGGACGGTGTACAGCACTGAAAAGACACCGATTTTGACCATCAGTCTTTCCAGTTTGTCGGTTTTAGTTCCATCTTTCTGGAGATTAGACCTGATTTTAAATAAGGCCACGAGTCCCGCTGCAATGAATAAAGTCCCAATGACCAGGTAGGTAAAAAGCGGAGCGACGACAAAGCCTGTCAGCGCATCTAGGTTCTGGTTCCCAACGTAGCACAGACCGGTGAGCTCGTCTGCGTCTACTAGTCTCATAATCAAAATGACTATGGTCTTCACAGCGGGGATAGCCCAGGCTGCAATATGGAAATAAGAGCTGTGCATTTCTATAGCTTCATGGCCCCACTTGAGTCCTGCAGCCAGAAACCACGTCAATGTCAGAATAACCCACCAGATGGAGCTAGCCATCCCGAAAAAATACATCAGCAAGAAAATTATAGCACATCCTGTGTTCTTAAGACCTTCTTGGATAAGAACAGGTTCTGCTGCCTCTTCAAAATCACAGGATATCCTTTCCCGGCCCACAGTTAGCCTCACAATATAAGCAATGCTATAAATATTGTAGCACATGCTCAAAAATATGATTGGGCGCTCCGGGTAGGAAAATCTGGATGAATCAATCAGGAAGGTCAGGACTGTGAAGGCAGTTGAGATGAAGCAAAGACTGGCCCACACGGCCATCCAGATATCTGTGAATTCCTTAGCTGACCTGCTGTAGAGACCAGCGTCGTAGCCGCACTTCAGGACGCAGTTCAAGCTTCTCTTCACCCAGATGTACTGATCCGAGTTAGATCCCATGCTGTGGCACTCTTCTCCAGGCTGCAAGGAGGTCTTGCTATGAAGGGGAACCTCTTCGTCTCCTGGGCCCTCCATGCACATGTGGTTGTGATCATTCTGGGGTGGGAATTTGCTGCAGTTTAAGCTGTCCGGCCAGGCAAATCCAAATTCTTTTAAAACGGGTTCGCATCTTCTTTTGACAGAGAGGCACATGCCACCGCAGGGACCTATGGGGATGTTAATCTTCTCTGTGCACATCGGGACATAGACCGAACAAAGGAAGAACTGGAAGAAACAGAAATCACAAGTGCGTTAGGGGAAAATTAAACAGGTCAAAATATAACAAGTTCTCTTTTTTTGCCTTTTTAGCAGTAACGTTTGGTCCTTTGCCTTAAAAAATAGGAAGCAGCATAAAACAAATAAACCAAGAACAATAAAAACAAAGGAGAAAAAAACCCCAAAACTAAAAATGTTGTCTTCTTTCAGTTCAAATGTGGTCCGAAGCCAAAGCCTGAACATTTTACTCCCTAGATTAGCTCCATGTAAATTTAGCCCACCAGTTTCAATAAAGCGAGTGGGATTTAGCCAGATCTAAACCTCAAGGGTGCAATTTAGGAAAGCAAAAAAACAAATTGAAGCGGTTTAAACAAATACTTATATTTGTTCTAGGCACTGCCTGGATATTACAGCTAACAAACAAACAGAAGAAAAGGCATTTATTGAATTACTTTGGTTCACAATCCTCCTAGAAGAATGTCTTCTTCTTTTACCATAAGCTCACGTACGTATTTACAACGGTAATAAAATATTGTAGTTTTCTCGGCTTTTGAATAATCGCAATTCTGCGACGCGACAACGTAAGAGGGATCGCGTGCTAATTCGGGAACTCTGCCCCAAGAAACAAGCCGGGTTTTGTTTGATGAAATCCATGCCCGTGGGGAGGACAAGGATCTTGCCATTCGCCTGGGAAAGAAACTCCTGCGGTGAAACGCTCGGAGGAGGTCCCGAGCAGCCGGCAGCTCCCCGGAGCCAGCTCCGTCGGCTTCTGCGTGCTAATTCGGGAACTCTGCCCCAAGAAACAAGCCGGGTTTTGTTTGATGAAATCCATGCCCGTGGGGAGGACAAGGATCTTGCCATTCGCCTGGGAAAGAAACTCCTGCGGTGAAACGCTCGGAGGAGGTCCCGAGCAGCCGGCAGCTCCCCGGAGCCAGCTCCGTCGGCTTCGCAGCGACCAGGCAAAGCTCCGGGAGCCCCCGCTTTCCCGGGCGGGAGGGGAG